CTGGGGGACCTGGCTTAGAACCGCAGGCCATGACCAAGGTCAGGTGGGTTGAGTTGGGGAATGAGGGGCCACGGGACACAGTGGTCAGAGCAGAGCTTCCTAGCTGAGGGGCTTCAGGTACACAGGAGAGAAGCCCTCAGCCCTCTACCCATCGGCCACGTGGCCTGACCAGTATGACCATTTCCAGCTGTGCTGCGATCCGGAGAAGCTGGAGACCTGGAGGAGCTGAGGCTGTGGCCTCTTGATGCTGCTACGAGTTGTCCTAATGCTCTTACACACCAGAGAGACCCAGGTGGCCCCCAGGGAGACAGAACTGTACTCTTGGGAGAGTTAGGGAATTTCTCAAGGATGCTGAGGTGGCTGCCCTGACCTCTGGGGTCCTGGACACAGGGCATGTGTCCTGTAAGCGTAGCAGCTGGGCTTGCTACCCTATGAGGACTTGGTTGTGGCCTGGAAACCAGTCCCTGCTCCTAAGATGTACGCAGCCTATGTTACCTTCTAGAAGTGTTACCTTCTAGAAGGTTCCCTGAGTCCATCCCTCCTCTACAGCCCAGCCTGCCCCCCGCTCCTGCTCTCTCCCCTGCTCCTGTCACATACTGACCCAGGAGTTTGCCCCTGGTCTTGGGCATCAGCCTCACGTTGTGGGGGCAGGAAGACCGCAACTCTTGCTGTGTCCAGGACCACCATGGGACGGGCGCTGGGGTGTCGAGTTTCCCCACTGTCCCCCCTGTATGCAGACAGAACATGCAGGGTTAATGCAGTCCCAGCTGGGGCTGGAGGAAATGAGGACAGGGGTTCTGATGACAGGCTGCTGTCACGGGGAGCTGGCTCTGCCCGGGGAACAGCACTGCTTGCCAAGTGTGGAGTCCTCACAGCCGCTGTCGTGGGGCCCGGAGCCCCAGCACCTCAGATGACAGGTCAGTTTGAGAAACTTGACACCGGGGGCGCAAAACGGATCCTCATCGACAGATTGCTGCCGAGCGGTGCGGCTTTTAAAAATATACTGATAGTTTCTTTATGAGGATAAAAATAACATAAGTTCCTTTTGGAAAACAGAAAAATAAAAAGCAGAAAACAGCACCAGAAAAAAACCATTTGGCATTAATATGCTCCCAGCTCTTTCCTGTTGCCAAATTGAGCATGCCTGTGTGTGGGTCAGTGCTCTTTCCTCACATGTGGTTATACTGCGGGTGTTTCTGATGTGATCAGCACTTGAAGATAAGATTTTCAACCTCCGCTGGGCACAGTGGCTCATGCCTGTAATCCCAGCACTTTGGGAGGCTGAGGCACATGGATCACCTGAGGTCAGGAGTTTGAGACCAGCCTGGCCAATGTAGTGAAACCCCTGTCTCTATGAAAAATACAAAAATTAGCCAGATACATGCCTGTAGTCTCAGCGACTCAGGAGGCGGAGACAGGAAAATCGCTTGAACCCAGGAGCCAGAGGTTGCAGTGAGCCAAGATCGCACCACTGCACTCCAGCCTGGGTGATAGAGCAAGACTCCGACTCAAAAAAAAAAAAAAAGCGATTTTCAATTTCATCTCAACAGGATGACATCACACTTTGTGAAGCTGGGAGTGATAACTGGTCACTCCTGTTCAAGGACGTTCAAGCTGTTTTCCACTTGGGACTATTATAATGAAGGTGGCATCACCTGTGTGATTATTCCTTCAGAATAGATTCTGAGCGTGAAAGTTAAAACGTGTGAGGCCGGGCGCGGTAGCTCATGCCTGTAATCCCAGCACTTTGGGAGGCCACTTCGGGTGGATCACTTGAGGTCAGGAGTTAGAGACCAGCCTGGCCAACATGCTAAAACCCTATCTCTACTAAAAATACAAAAATTAGCTGGCCGTGGTGGTGTATCCCTGTAATCCCAGCTACTTGGGAGGCTGAGGCAGGAGAATCGCTTGAACCCGGGAGATGGAGGTTGCGGGGAGCTGAGATCACGTCACTGCACTCCAGCCTGGGTGACAGAGCAAGACTCCATCTCCAAAAAGAAAAAGAAAAAAATGTGTGAGTGAGGCCCAGTCCGCATGTCAGTCTGCCCACCCCTCGGGGCGTTAGAGCCCTGCACAGCACCTCTCACTCCATCCGCGGCGACCTGGGGCCTGGGTTCCATCAGGCCGTCCTTGTTCCCTTTCGCCAGCGCGCTCAGCACGTGGGACGGCGCCTCCTTCCCTGAGAACCTGCTGCGGTATGCTGTGTGTTCGCTGTTCAGATTTCTTTTGTCTTGGGTCCAAACCACCTTGTTTGACGGCATCTGGCTCTGTAATGATGACATCTTCGAATCTGAGATGGAAGACCCTCGTTGCTCTGCTATTTACATGTTTTTGTCTGCTGCACTAGTGATCTCGCACCGCTAAGGAACTGCCCTGAAATCCAAGGTCCTAGAACCCTGCCCGCGCGTCGTCCCAGCGCCTCCTCGGGAGCGCGTGCGTGCGCCCTCCTCTCTCGGCGCCTC